GTGTATTATATACAGAAGTTGCAATATGTAAGGAGAGCCTGCCTTAGAAGCCTGCAGTAGAAAAGAAGAAGTTAAAAGAAAAAGACTCAAGGATCCGTTTTCCATTAAGTTGATGTGAAAATATTTTTTTAAAACTGCTTTAGTCTGGTGGACTGGTGACCTGTCCAGGATCTACCTCAGCTGTCACATAGCGAGTGTTGAAGATAGGTTCCAGCCACACCTTAGCCCTGCAAGGAGACGGTTGATGCATGCTGCAGTATTTGCATCAAATAATGCAATTGCAAAGTCCTTCAAGAATTACATTTATTTTTATAAGTAGGTTTTTTACATCTTCATATGTTAATTTGGTTAAAGAGAATTTACACCCTTGTAACTTACCAGTGATTAAACAACAGCACTTTCTAGTGAGTCTCAATAAGATGTACGGGAAAAGGGTTAAAATGTTAATAATTTACCTTGAGCCAAGGCTAAATAATACCTTTTATTTCTCTGCTTTGTAAAAAGTAGCATCTGTCATACACAAGACAAACAGACATGTTGGTGAACATTTCCCAAGCAATAATCTTTTTGTTTTGCTCTTTATTGATATGATGAAATAAAAAGCCAATTCTTTAAAGAAACAATAAGATGTGACTTACATTCTGTGCAGAGAAGGGATAATACTTTTTAAATCATTATAGCTTATCTTAAAGAGAGGGTTAGATTCTAATGTCTCCAAAAGAAAACAAAAAAGGTAAAAATTGACATTCCTGCAGTTGAGAAAAAAATCATACATTTAAACTTGGAAAAGCTTGCTGCTGTTATGTATAAATTACATCAGTGGTTTGCACTGCTGTCTCACAGCAGAAATCTTTGCCCTGAATCTCAGCTTCAACTCCTCTGTGAGCCTTCCTATGCATGCATTTTTTGGTAAAATTTTGGGTCCCAGTTAATTGTAGTTTAAACACAACAGACTGCCTGAGTGTAGTCGTTGGCCATCTCCATTCCTTTATGACCGCACTGCCCATCTTCTGATAGCTTTTGTTTGGCAGAATAATAAACCGGTCTCATGCCAGTATGAATGAATGTAGTTCTTAAAGGTACAAAAACCTGTAAACAATTAGATGTGGAACATATTTTTAAATCCCATATTTTATCATTCCCCTTTATTTAAATGCTGGATACACTTTTCTTTACTTTAGCTCAAATAGTAAAATAAATTTAGCTGTATATCAAATCAACACGGAGAAGAGAATTGATACAGATTTGCAATAGTGAGAGCAGATTGACAGGATGGTTAGATGGTTAAGTCAAAAACCAATGCTAATTGAGGTAATATCAACATTTTAGGTTATTCACTCCAGGTTATTTTAGGTTATTCACCCCAGTGTACGCCAGGTTTGTTCGGTTTGTTCATAAATATAATCTGGGAAGAAAAAATATTTAATTAGGCCTCGTAATTTATTTATTTTTTATTTTATTTTTCACTGTCCTGTCTGGCAATAAGAATAATTGTCTTGATGCCAAAAAGAGCCCAACAGATTTTACTTTCACAAGTGTAGCAGTATGGCAAGTGCCATATTGCTCCACTTGTTTCATGCATATAAATTGCTTTATTATAATTATGCAGGGAGTTTTACAGTTTATATGGACACTGCAATGTAAATAGAGCAGAAAAAAAGGAAAAAGAAAAAAAAAGAGAAAAGATGAAAGAAAGAGAAGATAGAAAGGCTAGAAAGCCTAGTAATTTAACTGCAAACTATAAAACTATTTAAAGAACCATAAAGGTCATAGAGTATATTAGAAAAAAAAAAACACAAAGCAATCATGGGATTTAAATGATCTGATCTAGAGGAAAGAGCCACTACATCAACGCATTAATCTACACTTAATAATCATAAATATGAAAATTTCCCAAACTAAAATAAGAAATATAAAAAAGAAGAGATGATAAATCGGCTAAAAAGTGAAAAAATAAATAAAATCATAACGTCAAAATACAAAAAGCTATGCATCTATTATTTTATTTTGTATTATTTTCTTTCAATTTATAAGAAATGTACAAGTGTATTGAAATTATGCAAAACGTCCCCTAAATTTAAAGATACAGCCTTTAGTACAATAAAACTCGAATTTTAACTAAAACATTATATTTTGGTTAATTAATGTAGTTTTTGTTCACTCGCTCAGATGAACCTCACTGTGCCTCAGCAACCGTGACGTCAAAGACCTGACCAATCGGGGACCTCGCAGTTCTCTCGTACCTATCGCGAGATTATCAAATTAGCCTGGTTAGTTTGCTAGCGGCCGAAGCTGCGCTCTGTGCAAGCGGCTTACGGTTTATTTCCCTAACGGTATCAAGAAGACTTCACTGAGGGGATTTATTAACCGTTTAATTCTCCTGCTTGAGAGGAAACTCGGTGGACCTTGGGTTTCACGGTAAATTGTGAAAGCGCACGTAGCATGCTAATTAGCTTGGGCTCATCCTGTGGAGGAAGCGGGTTTGTTTTGATCGCGTCGGTGAATGTGATTGCATTTTTTTATAAATAAGTGTAGGTTTTTATTTACATTTCGAATCGAACACGTAGAGCTTTATGTGTCTGAAACGTCTCGCACTGTGTTTTCCAAATCCCCTTTATGTGTTTCATTTCTAACTGGTTAGATTGTTTATACGTACTTGTTCTTGCAGATACACATTGTGACCAAGCTGTGTCAGTCTTGCTCACGATTCCCCTCATCTTCAGGTTCCCAATGATGAGTTATGCTGAAAAGCCAGATGACATAACAAAAGAGGAGTGGATGGACAAATTAAACAATGTTCACATTCAGAGGGCGGACATGAATCGGCTCATCATGAATTACCTGGTGACAGGTGAGAAATTCTGGTGTTACACGATTTAATGGTGCATCTCACTAAATTAGATAATTGGAAACTTTTTCATTTTAAGTTCTTTAACTTAACAATGGAAACTTATATAGGCACCTTACAAACAGTGATAAATGCCGTGGGGTTTTCTGCTCATAGTGATGGTTATGCCTGACAGCCAGCTGAGTAACATCCCACAACTAACCTTGTAATGTCAGGTAGACCAGTTGCAGTGATACCATGGTCAAAACCAGACGTTGTATGTTTTTTGGGAACTAAAACTTAGCATATCTTTAAAGCTATTTAACAAAGGAAAGCATGAAGTGTATGATTTTCTAGACTTGATAAACCACTCTTTGAACATCAGTAGCAGACCCCCTAGCTCCCAAGTTACCATTGACCATTGGAAGCTACATGCTAAACCTTAATCAGCTTGATTTCTGTTCACCTTCTCTCTTTTTCTCTACCGTCTAGGAACTTCATTTACAAATTAAAGGCAAACCTTATTGACCAGGAGGCTTTAAGGCCAATTTATGCCGCTGGCGCATAGCCTCTGCAACCGTCAAATCTGTCTCTGTCTCAAAAAATCCTGACTATGCGTCAGATGGTCGCAAACCCACACAGACCTCAAGGGCAGAAGTGCACAGACAAAAAGCAGCTGTGATTTGTCCTTGGTATGCATTTCCAGCTGTCTGTGTGGTCTTGATTCGGTGCCTGGGCGCACAATTTTTAAAAACCGAGGAACAACTACAATGGACAACTACAACGAAAGGTTTATGGAGGAGGTTCCATCCTTGTCCTTTACCGCTTAGCATAGGTTCCACATTCCTAATGCCATTTCTGTCCCAGGAGTGGCTTAGCACCTGGAATGTGACAGTTTTAACCAACCTAAATGCAATGTGAATAACCCCCAAACTAAATTGGCTTTGCCTTTGAATCCACTTAATGCTGTGAATATCTTCATGACTCGCGCACCTTTTTCTACAACATCTTTTCCTTTCACTCAACTTTCCCTGCCAAGTTTCCCTGCCAACTTACTGCCAAATTCTAAATCTATAGTTTTTTCCAGGCTTATCTTTATTGTGGAGGCTGTCAGTGACTATATGCTGTTAAACTGTCAAATAAAATATTTAAAGTAACAATAGACACTAGATATCAAAACAGATCAAGGGTTTTTTTATTATCTGTGAGTAGATATAAATAGATAATAGATATAAAAAATTAACACTTGTATATAATGTGGGTAACGGATCTATATATTACGATTCATACTATTTTCACGAAAGTACTAAGAAACAGAAACATTTTCATGATGTTTTGATTTATTGAGGTGCACCACTGCAATGTATTATTAGTAAATTCTTTGCCTCTGTCTGTCTATATTTGAAGAGGGCTTCAAAGAGGCAGCGGAAAAGTTTCGGATGGAGTCTGGAATTGAGCCCAGTGTGGATTTGGACTCTTTGGATGAAAGAATTAAGATCAGAGAGATGATCCTGAAGGGACAGATACAGGAAGCCATTGCACTCATTAACAGCTTACACCCAGAGTTACTGGACACCAACCGATACTTGTATTTCCATTTGCAGGTACTGTTGAGACACATGAGATTATTTCATTTTGTTGAGGCTCTGATATTTGCTGCTATTACTAAATACAAAGTTAATATAAACAATGTTCTGTATGGTTAAATTTGAATCTTTGTTATGGACTTTAAATATTTGTTGTAATCTATCCTGAAAACTAAACTATATTGCAGTTCATGGTAATGTTTTATATTTTTTGAAAAAACCATCTTAAACAGTTATGAACCTTGGCAGGACCTAACTTCCACATCAACATTACTCACTCTCATGTCTCTCCTGCAGCAGCAGCATTTGATTGAGTTAATCAGGCTAAGAGAGACTGAGTCAGCCCTGGAGTTTGCTCAGACACAGCTTGCAGAACAAGGGGAGGAGAGCCGAGAGTGTCTGACAGAGATGGAGCGAACGCTCGCCCTTTTGGCCTTCGACAACCCAGAGGAGTCACCCTTCGGAGACCTGCTCAACATGATGCAGCGGCAAAAGGTTGGCTCCCCTAATTGTGTTTGTAACATTTGAACCATCGTAAACTGTAATTGTGGTAAATCCCTTTGCAACATGGTTATTTAAATTTAATCTTGAGGAGAATAACTTTTGTACTGTTTGAATCAACAACAAGATAATCCTAAACCTAAGAGGAATGGAGTCCTCAAGTAGGACTGGGTGATTAATTGCATTTGCAATATAATTGCAATCTACCAAAATACAATTTTCAAATTGTAGAGGCACTCAATTGTAGTCACATTACATATAACAAGAGTAAGATGTTGCATTTCTCTCTCCAGGCTTTAAGGTGGAGGTAATACACTTAAAGTGGGTTTTCCCACCACACAAACAGTAAGAGAGAGTTACAGCTAGCATGCAGATCCATACTTGATGGTAGAAGTCAGAAATTTTTCCTGCTAAGGTTACAGAAAAATCCTGAAGAAATGGACCATGAACGGATATATCTACATGTTTGTGCTTGGTGCAAAGGAAAATTGAAATAACATTGGTTGAAAGTTCTCATGGTATTGTTGTTTTCACCTTTGTTATATTACTACTTCTGAAAGAGAAATATACATCTTTGACTGGCATATAGGGTAAGTTCTTCAGGTTCTAAAAGATATCTTAATAAATGTTTTTCATATTGTTTTCGTATGGGTCCAAATTTTCCACAGAACAAAAACCGATCTCTTTGTATTTAGTTAGGTGAGATTCTTCCACCTGAGTTTGCGCCTCTGTTGCTGCTCCAGTTACCATGGGCCTCTTGCTGTTCCTATAATAAATGCTTTTATTTCTCTTTCTGACAGTTTAGGTTAATGATAAGGTCTGCACTATTTCCAGGTTATGTATTAAATGGCTCTGAGATGTTTAAAGCTTAGGATTTTCATTGAAACCTAGATCTTAGGGCTGAAACAATTAATCAGATTAATCGTCAATAAATAATCGTCAACTAATCTAGTAATTTATTATTCATTAATTGGAGTATAGTGACTCTAAAACGTGCCTTTAGCTGACAGAGCGAATGACCTAGAGCCGCAATCATACCCAAATTGTAATAAAAAAAATGTTTTTGCATTTTAGATTTAAAAAAAAAAATGCCTGTCTATATGCTCCAACCAGAACTTCTCAAGGGAAAAAGTTTTAGTTTCAGTTTAATTTCTTAAAATGGCTTCTTTTAGGAGCCTTTTGCAATCTGATTATTAATCAATTAATCTAAAAAATTATCAACAGATTAATTGATTTGCAAAAAAAAATCGTTAGTTGCAGCCCTACTAGTTCTGCTTTAAAAACTATTTAGAGCGAATTCCCTATTTTTCTTCTAAACACATTATAAATGTTAAAATGGCACTAGATTTAAAACTGGATTTCAAATCATGTGTTTTCAGTGTGGCCTCATATTGTCATGCAGATGCCTTCAGCATAGGCCGGGCCCTTCTGGTCCAACAGTATAAAAGCGAACAGTGAAGCTGCTATTTTTGCTTTCGCTGTATAGCCCTGTATGTAGCTATAAGCCCCATTTTAAACCATAATACTAAAACACAATAAGCTGACCAGCGGAACAAAATGGATTCTTGTGTGTTTGTTTGGCAAGGTTAGTGATTAATTGCACCTGACTTTATTTTAGGTGTGAAATTACACTGCTTTGTATTAGGCATAAAGTCATATAAATATAAAGTCATATTATATGACTATTAGGCATCCGGGGAGGACTCAGAGTAGAGCCGCTGCTCCTCCACATCACGAGGAGCCAGTTGAGGTGGTTCGGGAATCTGGATGCCTCCTGGACATCTCGCTGCTGAGGTGTTCCAGGCACGTCCCGCTGGGAGGAGACCCAGGACACGTTGGAGGGACTATGTTTCTCGGCTGGCCTGGGAACGCCTTGGGGTTCCCCCAGAGGAGCTGGCCCAAGTGGCTGGGGAGAGGGAAGTCTGGGCTTCCCTACTGAAGCTGCTAACCTCGCGACCCGACCCCCGGATAAGCAGAAGAAGATGGAAGGATGGATAAATAATTAAATTCAATTTATTTATATAGCGCCAATTCACGTTATCTCAAGGCACTTTACAGAGACAGTTCAACCAGATCATACAGTCATATTGGTTTAAAGTTTTCTATCTAAGGAAAACCAGTTGATTGCATCGACTCATTGACTCGAAGGCAATCCCTCACACCAAGCGTGCGTTTAAAGGCAGAAATGGTAATCAATAGTAATATATCACCATTTTCAACAAGTAATGATGAAGGTTTGGGTCATGTTTTTAATTTGCATCCACGTAATTGGCTGATTAATCATATTAATGTTATGGATCGATGTATTGTACACCTATAAAGTTTATATAAGTTTGATAGTTTTGAGAAAAGGTGTTGGAGGTGGGAGTCTGTTTGTAATTGCTTGTTTTACATTTTTATAGAGCACAGGACAATAGATCTAAATTAAGAAGGGCTTTTTTCCCCCAAGGTAATGTCTTATTTTTATTATTTATTTTGGTTTCATAGATTTCTTTTATTTTTGGCAGGTTTGGAGTGAGGTGAACCAAGCTGTGCTGGACTATGAAAACAGGGAGTCGACACCTAAACTGGCTAAACTCCTGAAGTTACTACTGTGGGCTCAAAATGAGTTGGACCAGAAGAAGGTGAAATATCCTAAAATGACAGACCTCAGCACGGGCACCATCGAGGACCCCAAGTGAACGTCAAAAAGAGAAATCACCAACACATCTACTTGATTTATAACCATTCAGTGACTGCCAGGTTTCATATGCGCGTAAACATATGTACAGTTTTAATCTTTTCACGTCATGTACAAGAGTCGGTTCACCGTGCAAACAAACGTTTCCGTTTAGATACAGATTCTGGGTTTTACAAAAATGAAATTGCTGATATATATTTTGAATATTCAAGCCTTTGCTGTTGTGTTGCAGTGACCACTTTCTGAAAAACCGTTTATTTTGCAGTGAAAGAGGATTGGATGTATGAATGAATAATGCTGACACCGTGTCTGTTGGGGGTTTCTTTCTTATTAAGAAGACGAGTCAGAATGAGCTGGTTGGTGGTTCCAAAAATTAACAAAATGTGAATATTTTTTCCAAATAAACAGATAGAAAAACTTTATTATTGTAATATAGTTTTAATTAATGCAGTATTTTAAGGTTTTATTTATCTTAATCTGTGGAAGTTTCTTATAAATCGGCCACACACTTTTGAAATGTCGAAGTTTAATGCATATTATTAATAAATATATGGGAGGAATTGTCCTTTAAATTCTTTTTATTTTAATTTTTTTATGTCCATTGACTGTTGAAACCAGAGAGGGTTTTTCTTTCAGAGCTGAGCCCCATTGGCCTTTTTTTGAGTGAGGGCAAAACTCCCAACATTCTCCATGTGATTACATCTGGTTTTATGTTTCGGGGGTTTGAAGTTACAGTAAAGTTTTGGAAATTCCCGTGACAGATGTAGAATTTATACGCTGCAGCAGACAAAGAGACGCTTTGATAAATGTAGGTCATTCAAATCCATATGATCTTCAGGCTAAAGCTATATTTATTGTCACAGCCTTTTATTTTATTATTTATTCTGACAACTCCTAACATGTAATTTTTTGGTGCATCTTTTTGTTTTTGTTAGGATTTTTCACTTTTTCTGCATGTCTGTATTTACCTTTTCCAAGAGGAAGGTGCTTGTGCTTGTTTATTTTATTAGATTTTGTATTAAAGAAAAAACTTGTGACTCATTGTTCTACAGTGGTTCAGCTTAAGGCTCTGTCTTTTTTTTCAATCAATTTATCTTATCAGACTCAAACTACACTGCAAAAAAATCAAAATCTAGACTAGTCAGTTTTTTCTTAAAATAAGCGCATTTGTTCTTGAATTGAGGAGGTAAAAAAGAAATTCTGCCAATGGAACAAGACAATTTACACTTAAAATAAGAAAACAACACAATTGCATTGTCTTATTTCAAGTGGATATTATCTAATTATCTTATTTTAAGAGTAAAATTACTCATTCCATTGGCAAACTATCTCATTTACCTGCTCAAATTAAGGGTGAATACACTTAATTTAGCAAATTTTTACTTATTTCTAGATCGTTTTTGCAGTGTATTTTTCTTTATCTTACATTTGGTATCATACTGTTTTTAATAACATTTTGTAATTTATTCAAACAACTTATTTCCTCGGAGGAGGAGTTACGAGGCTAGGCTATTTTATTGCCTGGTATATTTCGGTGGCTGATGGGTGCAATTGCACCGTAAAAGAAGAATGATCTGTAAAGCCGTGTGTGATGCAATCTCCAAAACGTGCAAAAAAATACAAAAAAACAAAGAAAAAAACAAGCTGCATAGAGGTGCAAACGAAAAAAGAAGCTGAATAAAGGTGTTCTGCAAACTCCAAAACACTAAAAACAAATCCAGACAATAAAAGCTGCATCCACATATGGAATGCTGTAACAATTGTTTTGGAATTTGCATCACACGTTTTTTGCAGATCATTCTTTAATTACTGCGTGTTCGAACTGTTGACCGTCGTGCACAACAATTCAAAGTGCATACAGGAATGGAACTTTAAAATGAAAAACAAAAGTACATCGCTGCAAATTAAATAAACTCTAGTAGAAAAACCAATTTTACCCGCAAAGTTAAACTAATGTTGAATCAGAAGATACTTAAACACTGAAGTAGAAATTTTACAATCTAATGTTAAAAGATAAACTTTTCTTTGTCCATCTGGTAGTTTTCTTTTATTTGGCTTCACTGCATCATAGTGGCCATAGGAGCTACAGATAAAAATATGTTTTACATCTTATAAGTGCTGCCCATAAGGTGTTTAGTCTGCTTTGATTTCAGACATTTAAAAGCTATTTTTATTTGACTAAATGTTTGATTCGTAATTGCAAATCAGTCTTTCTACCTATTTGTCTTAGTTGATATCAAATTAAAGTTTATAAGTTGACCAATTGTTTATTTGTGCATTGTGCTGCAGAAAGTATCTCATCCTGGACGCCATTGATTCTAGAGGCACGAATACAACTGTTACTGTTAGAAAAATGTCTCTGGTTAAATTGGACATTAAACACTTTTTATTATAAAATTTCAGCACTCTTTCTGGCAGGAATGGTAATATTAGTTCAAATAGGTTGTTTTCTTTAGAAATAACTTTCTTTAGGCATAGATCACAAACTTTATTGGGGTAAAAGTAAATAAAACTTTGTCTGTAAAGGACCTATCCAGATAGAAAGTGTCCCACAATTGACTATTACAGCATCCAAAAATCTACAAATGCTTCTAAACTGGAAAAAATGATTAAAAAATTATTGCCTTATTATTTGTTACTTCTCCATCATAATGTTCTGCAGAAGATGTTTCTCTTCTTCATGTGGCCAATGTAAATTTTAATGAAAGCTCAAAGAGCTTCTTTCTTGGTCAGTTTCTTGATTAAACTTGTTTCACTAGTTCACACACAGTTTCCATCGCCTTTTCTGATGAAGATTGCTTACTTTAAATGGTTGAAACTTTTGGGGAAAGTAATTGTTTCAACAAAGCAGTTATTTCAGTTTCAATGAGGCTGGTTTGTGTCACCCAAGGTTTGTGTTCTCATCAACCAGTTTAGATTAAAACTTTTCTATTTCACTATTGAAGTAAATTTTTTTAACATGTTTACAAAGCTCCAAACACAAAAAGTGTGTAGTTTCTCTGCAACTTGCTCAGGAATTATTGAATGTGCATGCATAAAAAACCCCCAAAACAATACCCTGGACTTTGTTTCATAGTTTGAATACGTTTCGCTTCCCATCCAGGAAGCTTTTTCAATTCAAAATGTCAGAATTAGCGTTGAGTTCCCAGACCAAATATGAGTGGAGTGGTGTATTTTTTAGTTTTTATTGGAAGGATCCCCATTAGCTACAGCTATGCTGCAGCTATTCTTCCTGGGATCCGGAAAAATATACACATTAAAAACAAAACAAAGAATACAACAAATAAATGAAAGGAAAACAAAATAAACACATATACAAAAAAAAAAAAAATAAACACACATATGTACCCTCATGCTGGCATAAAATATACACAAATGTAAAAACTCATTCTACACTTACACCTGTAAACATTATATGCAGTTCAATGCAGTGAGGAATGCTCTGATCCTTATATTGGAGAAACCAAAACAATCTTTCTACAGATGCGTGGCCCAACATAGAACAGCGACCTCCTCCGGAAAAGACACTGCAGCACGTTTGGTTAATTATGTTCTAAAAGGTCTTGCCATGCATGGTTCATGTTTTCTTTACTCACTGTCTCCAAGGTGGTTATATCAGTTTGTTTTTTGTTTAAAACAAAACTAGAAAGCTTCAGAAGTCACAACAATTTGGACATAAATGTTAGAAGGTTCATATACAATATATTTTTTTCTGATTAAGCTTATTGTAGCTCACATTTCTATACTGGCATTTTCTTTTTCTTGGTTTGATTTTGATATTCTAATATTAAATGTTAAATTTCCTTTTCTTTAGTTGATTACTGTATTTGGATACTTTTTTTTCTAGATGTGGATATGTGTGTGAAACCTACAAGACAACCCAGTAACCTGGTAAAAAAAAAATAAAAAGCACCATTGATACACGCCTTTGTCCTTTCATGGAGAGTCTATATGTAAATTTTCCTCCCTGTGAAACCACCACTTAGACATCTACTGTCGGGAATGGAAATCACTTCCAGTTGCTGACAGGCACCAGTGTCAACAAGTCGGATCAGTTTAGCCGGTTTAAGCAGAGGATGTGAGGAGGATCATTTGTCAGCACAGAAGAGCTGCACCAACCACAGAGAAGACGCCGGTGTGGGTGAATGGCTGAAAACCACACAGCAGAACAGTTCAGGGACTTAAAGCCTTCTTTGGATCTTAACAACTTTAGACCCGATGAACCAGTGGAGGAGTTGGAGAACCAGAATATATGGCCCAGGTGAGAAACTTTGTTTTTAGCTGAGAAAGGGAGCTGAAGGAGGTTTAATATAGTGCCTGTCTCTAGCATAACTACATTTTCTGATGTGATTTACGCAGGCTAAAGTAGCCTATTATATTTCAATTAAAAATATATAAATGTTATTAAAACTCCCAAAGTTTAAAAGACACTTGATTCTATATTAACAAAAAATGTCCACAATTTGAAAGAAGAGGTGTGTGTGTGTTTTTTTTTTTTTTTTGGCATCTGTTTCTTTGGTGAAACACTTTCATTATCCACATGTCTCTACCTGCTGCACCGCAACTTAAGCGTTATGCAACTTATGCTTTTCAAGACCCCCCCCTAAACTATTTGCTCTAAGGTACGCTTTGACGTGGAAGGAGAAAAAAAAAACATGCTAGGACATTTTCATGATTTACAAAATCACCTCAGCTAACAGGACCGACTTTTAAAAAAAGATAATCAAAAAGAAACTTTTGACACAAGTAGGGTTAACTTGAATTCTCCTTAAAGACCAAAAAATGAGATTAAAACAACAAAGCTGTTGAACCATACCAAGGAAATTACAGTCTTCATGGATTACTGGGTTTCACACACCTGCTGCAAAAATAATTTTTGCTTTTCTTATTCATATCTTCATTGTGGAAACAACAACAGTGCTGCAGACCTCAAGTCTAACTGTCTTGGTCTAAAGCCTCTGCATGTTAGAGACACGACATGCAATTGAATGTCTAAAAGACCAACAGAGGCGTCTCTACAGTGTGACGTAGATAACAGTGGCACGCTAACAGAAAGTGAAGAAGAATGTTCTACATTTGCTACTTTGTTTGGGATCATTCTCTCGTTGCAAAGCTTGATTTCTGCTGAGGTTTGGCTGTTTTACAGATGATATCACAATGGAATGAAGAATAGCTGGTATACAGAGGACTTTATAGGCTAGTAGCTGTGAACAGGCCCAGATCATGACCCCTCTACCACCATGCTTGACACTTTCTTTGAGATGTTGGTGGCGATATGTTTTTTTTTTTTTAACTAAATGTGGCACAGTGCATTTAATGAAAAAAAAAAAAAAAAAACTTAAGATTAGTGTCTGTCTAAACTGTCTAAATGCTAAAGGATAATTAAGTCAGGACTTTGTTAACTAAAACTTTAAGCCTTTTTAGACAATCCAACCATATCACACTGTCTGATCCCCATATCAGACAGTTTGATCATTTTTTTTTTACTTTTAACCATCCATATCATGGAAGATTTCCTACTGCTTTAAAGGTTAAAAAAAAAATCTGTCTGTGAAATCACAGACTAAAAATAGTCTGAAACTTATTTTCCCATATTGATGCACAGCAGCATAGGTCGTGTTTCATTATATTTGTGTTTAATTACTAAATTACCGTAGTTAAGGTTTTTAAAGTGCAACCGATAAACCGATCCTACTCCTTATAATCTAAAAATAAGGTGCTTATTAATGTGAAATCTTTTTCTGTCATGTAGACACCAATGAGTTGAGCTTTATCCAAGACGTCACCTCTGAAAGTTGCAGATGCAAATTTGCATCTCATTCAAAATACTGACAAATGTGGAGCTCCACTGTTCTGTTTATGATTGTTAATGGTGTCAAGTTTCTAGGCCTTAAATGTCCATGTCTTTTACATAGATGCAGGTTTTCAATAGAGAAGCTATCCATGACATGGATGGTAGATTCCATGACAAGTAGGGAAAATTCTACTTTTTTTTTAACCACTCTGAAAAGTGTGGAAAGCATTTGTATTTGGACTGCTTGAGCCAGTGGTGTTTAGAACTGTTCCTCACTAGAAACAGAGATTTTTAGAACATGGCTTTGGAGTTTGTTGTGGCTTCTTACTTGTCTTCTTCCAACATTGCATCATATTTAGATCAATCCATCACCCAATAAAACTAACCAGATGGCCCGCAGCCTAATGCTGCCACCACCATGTTTCAGAGTTGGGAGGGAGTATTTAAAGATGTCATTTAATACTTCTAAACACATTTGTCATGTTTAACATTTGGACTTGTCTGACCGGAGCACAGTCTTCCGTATGGTCACTATACTGCTTTCAACAAACTATAAAAAAGAGCAGTCTGCATTGCTTTCAACAGTTTAATAATCCTGGGACTCTGTGAAGGGCACAAATAGTAGTTGTCCCGTGTCTCAGCAGCTCTCAGCAGTTACCTTATATGTCTAAGATGTGTCCTATGATAAATCCTATCCCAACCAGCCTGTTAGATTGGGTAGACTTACCATAACTGGACAGATTAGCAGTCATGTCACCGTCATTGTTGACAGAGCTGTGTTCTATGCAGTGTTTAAAATTTGATGCGATTTTAAACCTAAGCCTGCTCTAAATTAAATGCAATTATTTGGGCTGGCTTTTTTAGGGGTATCAGAAAAATGTATGATGTACACATGTAGAGATGTGCAGCTGGTACTGTGTTACCTCAAAGCAAAAAAGTTTAATGTTTGGACCCATATTCTTTCTACACATACATTGTTTCTGTCTGGCTTTTCTGACTTCCTCTTACAGACTGAAAACATTACTGTTAGGGGGAATTGGCATTCTAAATTTCCTTTTGGTATGCTTGTATGTGTGTGCATGATTATCTGTCAAATTTCCGTTTGGAGACCTGACCAGGTGTGTACCCAGTGTCTCACAAAATGACTGCTGAGAAGCGGTTTATACAGTTTGTACAGTGGATGTATCAATCGTTTACATTCATCCCACAGTTTTCCCCTACTTGGTATCAGCTGATCAATTTATAGCTATATTAAATAAACTGAAGGTTTTTGGTTGCAGCATAGCTGAAAATCAGCATGTGCAAAGGCCATTTTTAGTCACAATAAATGCATTTAACTCAAGTATCATGTTTGAATTTAGGTTTATCTGGTGATGTAATGAATCATGCTTCATGCAAAACCATTTCTTTTTCGCCCCATGCAAATTATGATGCATGCCATTAAACTGGAGTTACTTGCAGATCACTGGCTCGAAAATGGATGGCGATGCTGTTTTTGGGCACCTGTCTCCTGTACTGTGCCAGGATGACGGCGCCGGTCTGTGCTGTCTCAATGGCAGCCACCTTCCACTGGAGTAAAATCGACTCTGGCCTTGTCCTGGGTGGTTTCTTCTGGGGCTACTGTTTCACCCAGATCCTGGGAGGACACGTCAGTGACAAGTAAGCTATTCATTCAGAGATGTACGCATGGCTTCACTTAAACAATGACTTGGTTAAATTCACATCCTGATATTTTAAAGTAAGGTTTAAAGTTTCAGGATTTCCTCCTGGTAATATTTACTGCTCTGCAGAGTGGGGGGAGAACGTGTCCTGATCACCTCTGCAGCTTCATGGGCGCTGATCACCGCTGGGACCCCTTTGCTAGCTCACCTGGGCTCTCACACCCTCGCTTTGATGACGTTGGCAAGAATCCTGATGGGACTGCTCCAGGGTAAGAACTGATAGCTGTTAGTCTAATTTAAGAGCTTATAGAAGCCTTCAGGGAATGTATAAAGTTAATATTCAAAGCAAAAGTCATGCATAGGCACTTATTCTCACCATACAGATCTGATGCTACTTCACTTTGGGGCAAATGTATCATCTGATCAGTGATAACTGGAAAAGAGATGGTGGGGAAAGTTTGCATAGAGAAACAGAGAGTTTAAAGTACGGCAAAATCTTTTTCTAGACTCGCAACTTCCCTACAAAACAAACCCTGAAAAAGATTTCTCCCTGCTGCACCTAAAATGCTGAAGCTCATAAAACGAGCTGTGTGATGTCTCGCAGGTGTTTTTTTCCCGTCTTTGGCCAGCCTCTGCTCACAGCGTGTTGTGGAAGCTGAGAGAGGGTTCTTGATGAGCACCATGCACAGCGGCACTCACCTCGGGTGGGTTCTGCACACATCTATACATTGCTTTACATTCATTACTGAGAGCAATATTAATGTTTCTAGCCTATGTTTTTATTCAGCACGCTGTTGGCGGGTGGAATGGGATCCATGATGCTCGATAGGTACGGCTGGGAAAGCATGTTCTACTGCACTGGGTTCTTAGCTGGACTGTGGGCCGTTACAGTGTGGTATTACTTATCAAGAGGTAAATCTGCCTTTTTTTTCATGTTGATAATCTTAAATACTTTCATGACAGCATTGCCACTGAGTATTTCTGATCTAAAAGTTAATTTTTGTTCTATGTTGGTTTAGTGTACTTCTTGAAGTTATGTTTTTTTTTTTTTTGCTTTAGGAATAAAATAATAAAAGTAAAGAATCTCAACAAAGATGACACAAACCAGGATTACTTTTAGTTTATTAAATAATAACATAAGGTGCCTCTCAGCAGGAGAAAGAGAAGTGATAAAAAATACCATACAAATATGTGACCCTGCCTATGAAAACCCAGCTAAAGTCATTTTTTGGTGAATCTCAACTTAATGTATAAAACCATTCTACACAATGTTAAGAATGGTTTTATACATTAAGTTGAGATTCACCAAAAAATGACTTTAGCTGGGTTTTCATAGGCAGGGTCACATATAAAAAGATTAACAAATGTTAAGTTTAGTAACTGTTTTGAATGTATCAAGGGATAGAACATGTGAGAACTGGAGAAAACAGGTGAATTAAAATGAACATAGTTAGAGAGAGAAGAAAAACATATTCTATTACTATCGAGACTTAGATTCGATTTTATTTATCCCTTGGAAAAACTCCTTCAGGGAAATTCTGGTAATCTTTTATTAAATAATAACTTTGATAGAAAATTGGTAAATTAAAAACTAAAATCAAAACATAAAAAAGACACAGAGAAGAAAAAAGAGCAAAGGAAAGAGTAGAATATTATAAAAATTAAACAATATACAATTACGAAATATAGAAAACAAAGAAATATAATATGTGTAATCCAATAAATATGATATAACGGTCAAAGATAAATTGTCAAAACAAGGCCAATTCCATAGAACATCTAATAGCAACACTATACAATAATCAACTGTTTCAAACTGTCAAACGAATAATAAATGCTGAAAAGTAAAAGCTGAAAAATGTGTAAAACAAGTTTAAAATGGTATATTGAATTAAACAAATATGAAATAATAAATAAGACAATAATATTTAGATGAACATAACTGATTTTCAGTAAATAACATGGTAAAATATAATAAAAAGTAAATCAAGTAAAGCAGTTCAAAATGTAAAGCAACCAAGAAAATGGACAGATGTACTACGTTAATTAACAAATGCACAGATAAGCTAAAACAGAATATCAAAAATACCAAATGAGAGATAGTGTTTTTTTTTTTATCTCATGAACATTTATTCCACTATATGTAAAAACATCAAAAACATTTTTAAAATGCCATTTCTGAGATGTTTAATGTCTGATTTGTGTTTATAATGAAGCTCAAAACAGATGTTTTGATATAATCTTCAATGTGCTGTTCAGGTGATGTTATAATGCAGCAAACAGGAATGAAGAGCCACCTCCAAGCAAGTTTGTCCCTGAAACGCTGGCTTTACCTTTTCAAAAAGCCTCCTGTTTGGTACAGCTATTAAAATTTATCATTTCTGTTTGTTTGACAGTTAAAAGATGAACATTTTGACCTGACTCCCTCTGTTATCTCCTCTCTCAGGGCCATGGTCCTAACTCACATGTGTGCATGCAGCACATCCTACACTCTGTTATCTTGGCTGCCGACATACTTTAAAGAATCATTTCCTCATGCAACGGTAACATGTTGATTTTTGTTCTATAAATCTAACTTAATGATTTCATGCACTAATAAAGACGTCTTTACTATGATTTGAATTTATTCTTGCAGCCTTGGGTGTATAATGTGGTTCCTTGGTTAACAGCGATTCCATCAGCTCTTGGTGGAGGATTTGTGTCTGATTTCCTCATTACCAAAGGTAAAAGAAAACGTGCAGTGGTTCCTAAAGTTGTCTGTCATCTGGGAAAATCTGATAAACACCTTTTATTTTTATTCTGTAGGATACGGTGTTGCATCTGTGCGAAAAATAATGCAAGTAAGTATAAGATTTTTACTGTGATGTTTAAAAAAACGAAACATTTATAATGTATTATGTGTGCTGTCTTTTTCTAATACCTAATGATTGGAAGTATTTTATTAAGGGAATTTATAATCCATCACAAAAAATTGGATAAATCTGATTAAGAAAACACGGTTGTCCACTTTGTCTAGCCAAAGCAGCTATCTGATTGGCAATATTTGCTAAGAAATATCACTAGATATAGGTTTGTTCAGCCTGTTTAAGGGTATAATGGTGGATTTTCGCAAATTTTTGAAAAGACTCGCCCTCTCCACTTTAAAAATAAATGGACATGCACAACCCTGTACCCACTCCTGAGAGGGAACGCCTATTAAACACATGGGAGAGCATGCACGAGCCCAGTTCTCCTTGAGGAGGTGCAGGGACACAATGATTTCACGGTCACTCAGATGGATTTTATCTCACCCATATTAATATATAAAAAGTTTCCCTACTAATAAGTCTACTGTTAGATTAAAAAAAAATCATGACATGCTTGTATGTGTGTGTGCTGCAGTGGAAATTAGCCTTGTTATTATAATGCACAGTTGGCATTTATAAGATCATTATAATGTTAGGACT